ATATAGCAATCAAATGAGGGTTCCTTAGAACAACTGTGCACTTCCAGATGCACGCAACATCAATTCCTCGTTCTCAACAAAAGTCTCCTCTGGTTCGAGAAGCGGCTAAGGTATGCATGGAAAACTTATTAGCATTTGCATTATTTACTTGACATTTTGAAATGATATTTTAATTCAGAATATGCAATAGAGTTAAGTTTCAAATGGACTTGTTCTTATACAAAAATGTTGCTTTCAAAACAGATTTTGAATTCGGAAATGGCAAATAGAATTCTATTTCCTATTGTGAGATTGTAATTAGATACATCACGACCTAGCTCTCCGAACCCCCCAAAATTTAATAATTTCAATATTTATATCAAATGGCAGGCGTTTTGATAGTTATCATTAGCCACTTAGTTGACTTCAGGCTTCACAGAGAGGAAGGAACATCGAAAGGAAAAAAGTCGAGAGGGAGGAACAGAAGAGTGCTACAAAGATGTAAAAAAGAGAGACCACAAAGGTGAAACAGTGGTGAGGTGAGTACTGTGGAAGTGGTCGAATGTGACATACAGTGGGGTCATGATAGTTTGAAGTCAGAAGTCAAGTGCCGGTTAATAGACTTTTTTGCCGTATGAGAATATGTTGCCCAGGGTGCACCACATGGAGGTAAGTCTATCGCGCACCCCATAATTTCAATATGATACATGTGTCCATAGCTCAATAAATTATTCACCTAATATTTAATATTTACAATGTTTAGTTTAATTTACTGTTGAAACTCATGTCAGTTACTCACAAACATAGTCTAAACACCAATCTTTTTAGCCACGTCGCTGTGATGAGATAGATGTACAGCAAAGTAGGAATGGCCTTCTGAAACTCACAAAATCTACACAATTTTTAAAATTTCCCTCGTATTTCAGATTCGCCTACTTCGTGAAGCAATCCACTGGTATCCTTTCCATCTTCATTCTCCCCTTCCAATCGTCGCGGTTGGATATGGATGGTGTTGAGGCCATCGTAACACCAGATGAGGCTACTCCAATTATTCCTGGTTGTGTGTATAGTGTCAAGGCAATGCCTGTGAAACCTTTTTCATCCGATCCAGGGTAAGTTAGGGGGTTACGATATTTAAATCCACTTAGGAGAATGTGTCGAACTTTGCGTCTCAAATTCTCCACAAACTTACAGATTTAGGTGTATTTGATCAATTCTATTTTTTGTCTCTTCTATCTATAGAAGCTGTTACCCAAATGGGACTCATTACCTAATGTATATGGGGTAACATTGCATATATTCTTAATAGCCATTATCACAGAACTCTCTGATAGAGTTGAATTTTTTTAGTTATTAAACTAATTTCATTATATTGATTCTTGGTGAATGGCCTAATCATATGTACTGATCAAAACACCTCAACTATGTTCATTGTTCTTAACTCTAAATCTAGGGAGGTAAATTTATCATGGTGACATGAGTCAACTTACGCAATTAAATCAGCTTATCTCAAACATGGTTTCCTACTTGAATTTAAGGTTCCAATCTTGAAACTTGAACATTGTGATATTGAGGCGTGATGCTTGAAGTAAAATGAAGAGCCGAATACGTCTTGACTTTAATTGATATTATAGCCCAGGTAATAAAATCGGTCATCCAAAAGTTAAATAACTCGAAAGGATGGGTTGACAGTTGCTGAGAGTAAAGTCAAGGCCTCACGGAGTCTTAATTCTTTTGATGTTTTTGTTTCGGGTAGTGTAATTGCCTTGATATTTAATGCTCCAGAACTCTAACTTCATAATACTATTTTTTATCGGTCGGTTGTGAAATTTATTTGCTCCCCTTCAAATGTCGAGAAAGTGGAGTTATCTTACATAATTGTAGACGATTGTGATAACTAAAATTTTCGCTTGCCATTTGTCATCTCAATTTTTGACCTTTTGGTTAACACTCTTATCCTCAATTTGTGTTGTTTTTCGCAGTCTTGGTCGAAAGGCCCTTTCTCTCTGTGAGAGCTTGACAGATTTTCTTGAACAAGACGAGAGACTCACAGTTTTCACGTCTCCCAGTGTTGACATTGACGCTGCCAATGATACGTCAATTTTCTTACTTAAAAATTCCGACAGACTGCATTTCACTCTTCAGATGTCTGCTTTCTCTGAAACTGCCATTTTACCCACGTACTCTGTAAGTTATCCACTGTGTTCTTGTTCTATTTTAGAGTTTAAATAGTATACATGTGTATGCAAAAAAAAATTTTATTTATATCAAATGGCAGGCGTCTTGATGGTCATCATTAGCCCTTTAGTTGACTTCAGGCTTCACAGTGGGGAATGAACATCAAATTTAAAAAAGTTGAGAGGGGGGGGGGACAGAAGAGTGTTTCAAAGATGTAAAAGTGAAACACAAAGGTAGAACAAAGGTGAGGTTAGTACTGTAGAGAGACAATGGTAGAAAAAAGGTGAGGTGTGTACTGTGAAAGGGGTCGAATATGACATACAGTGGGGTCATGGTAGTTTAAACAGACACAAAGGTAGAACAAAGGTGAGGTGAGTACTGTGTTACACGAAGGTAGAGAAAAAGGTAAGATGAGTACTGTGGAGGCTTAGAAAAGGTAGGAAAAAGGTGAGGTGAGTACTGTGGAAGATACAAATGTAGAAAAAAGGTGAGGTGAGTACTATGGAAGTATACAGACTCAGAGGTAGAAAAAAGGTGAGGTGAGTACTGTGGAAGTAGACTAATATGCCATACAGTGGGTCATGGTAGCTAGAGTCAACTGAAGGTAGAAAAAAGGCGAGGTGAGTACTGTGGAAGTGGTGAAATATGACATACAGTGGGGTGATGGTAGTTTGAAGTCAGAGGTATATGACATACAGTGGGGTGATGGTAGTTTGAAGTGAGAAATAGGTAGAAAAAAGGTGAGGTTAGTACTGTGGAAGAAGTCGACAGTAGAGCAAAGGTGAGGTGAGTACTGTGGAAGGGGTCGAATTTGACATACAGTGGGGTGATGGTAGTTTGAAGTGAGAAGTCGAAGAGAAAAGGTAAGATGAGTACTGTTGAAGTGGTCGAATTTAAGAAAAAAGGTGAGGTGAGTACTGTGAAATGGTCGAATATGGACAAAGGTGAGGTGAGTACTGTAAAAATAGTCGAATATGATATAGAGTGGGGTGATGGTAGTTTGAAGTCAGAAGTCAACTGCCGATCAATAGACTTTTTGCAAGTCAGAAGTCAACTGCCGATCAATAGACTTTTTTGTCTTTGAAGTGAGAAGTCAACTGCCAGTTAATAGAATTTTTTGCCGTATGAATATACGTTGCCCAGGGTTCACCACGTATGCAAAAAGATTAATATTGGTCATACCATTCTCGAGCATAACCGTTTGTTAAGCACTAGGTACTTATCAATTTCAGTAGCATATATTATAACAATTACAAAACGTTTGAATGTGATTTGGTCGATTTACGGTTTTCCATTTTTTCCCATTTTTAGCCTTACTTGTCTACGAATTCACGATGTATTTTAACTGGAATTCTGTTGCACGAGGTAGGTTTATTTGGTTGTAATTATGAATTCGTCTTGCATGGAGTTTTAAATTTGTGATTGCCATGTATTGGATAGTTGGGAAGGATTTTACGAAATAATATTTGGCTGTTTTTCCAGATATGTTAGGGGTGTTCACGTACTGCACGTTCCCTTTAAAATGTTGTACCTTTCTACATTCATCACATATTGACAATGGAAATGGATGACTGAACTCACCTAAAAATGAAAGAAAATAACTTGTACAAACCATTTTTTTTCTTGTATTGACGAGAATCTTAAATTCATCCTTAACAATCCATATCCCTCCCTTAATCGAATTTATAGTAATTGTTACTTGTATTGAGGTGACGTTTGGAAAGTGGTAAAAAATACTAATTGCAATGCTGGAAAATAATCACATTTTGTATATCTAGCTACTCTGTCGATTAATCTGATAAAGTTACAGTTCACATTCTTTATCTGTCAATTTTGATTTCGCCGTTTTTAACAACTTCGGACTTAAATGTGAGGATAGTAGCATTTTTTTAAATTCGTAACTACCACTTTGGCCACAGTACTTGACCCTCATTTCCTATGGGGGGGGGGTCTATTCTTACCTTGGCTAATTTTGTCGTTTTACTAAGATCTTCCCGCGGCAATATTGCCACATGCTATTGGTCCATGCATTTTTATTTAATTTTCATCTCACCTCCGAATCCACTGTGGCAACAATAAAAATGCGTGCATGTGATTCCGTATTTAAAAAAAATTGTTATTTGTTTTTTTTTTCTAGATGTCGTTTAAGAAGTTAATAAATATTATTTGCAACGGCTTGATTATCTCTCGCTCATATTGACACTTTTAAATATCTCGCCTCCTTATATCTATATATTCATAATTGTGAATTTTTATTCTAATTATTAATTATTGCGGACCAAATTAATAGAAGCTGAGAGAAATTATAGTTGCTTTATCCGTCAAGTTTGTAGATAAGGGTTAATGTTCAAAATCTCAGAGGTAGTTGAATATAGTCTTTCAAACAGAGAAATTTCAAATTTTTTTCATTTTGATTGAAATTGTTTCCTCCTGACTATGTACTCTCTCTCTCTCTCCATCTGTTCTTCTTTTCCAGTTTCCTTCAGGTTCAGCGATTGCTGATGAGTTTCTTACTGCTCTCGAAGGTGTTCCTGCCTTGCAAAACGCAACTGGAGATGATAAAATCTCTTCCATCTTTGCAATCTACTCTGAAGAAAATGAAGAGGTATACTTTGTGCTTTGCACTCATGATGCCGTCACTCCTTTGGCTCTAATCAATGCCTCAAACAAACTGCATTATAGTCGACATCAGGCCTGTCGGGTGAAATTATCTCTTGTTGGTGCTATTGTAGTATTTCGGGGTAAGTTTCAAGTCTCATTTGCTTTTAAATGTGCTTTAGTCTTCATATATAGCTTAGTAGTATATTGGTTGGGAAAGGAATTGTATGTCAGTGAATGGTTGAGAACTCACGTTTAGCTCCCTTCAATCCGTTTTGGTGATGCGATGGGAGGTCGAAGTAATTGAAAGGTCAGTTTCGATTTCATGACATTACGAGGTTAACCGCTATTTGTCTATTAGCCTGTTGTTTAACCATCAAAAGTGATGTTTAAATA